ACCGGATCTCTGATGGCGTACGCCATCGACGCCTCCGACGGATCGAAAATCAGCGAATTGTTAAACTTTTCGGTCACTCTTTCGATGGCTTTGCTGTCGTTTTCGGGCAAAGTTTGGCCATTGATTTCGGCATTGATTATCTGAAACAGACTTTGAACGCATTGTGGCGTCACTTTGTTGATGTTGAAGAACCAAGAGGTGGATCCCGTGCCCGTACACACCGTCAGACCAGAGCTCTTAAGTTTCGCTTTCTTTTTATCGTTCGCTGAGAACTCATAGTATGAGACGCGAGAAGAGATCGATTCGCCGACAAACACTTCGTTTAACGCCTTATACGGCAAAATCCTTTTCTCTCTCTTTTGGTTCTTCGTCTCGTTGTGTGGCATCGACTCATGACTTCCGTCCATATCTAAGAAGCGGTTCTCAAGACATTTAAGTTGCTGTTCGTGGAGTTCGAGGGGTTCTTCGTTGGCGTTTTCTGACTCGAGTGTTACGCGAATCCTTTGCCTGTATTTCCATTTGAACTTTCCTTCACTGAACAGCCGAAGAGCTGAACCGAAATCATTGGAATATCGAATCGGAAGACAGAGGTGTCCGACAGAGCGCTTCGGGTCACTGTTGACACCGATTAGCGGTTTATTACGATTATTGACTTTAGAGGCGGCCATCAAAAAGGTTCCGTCGCCTCCGGATGTGACGATAACATCCGCCCAATCGATGTTATTGTCATTATATTCGGTTCGGTTCACAACTTTGGTCTCAATGCCCGATGCGGTCAGACATTCGATAATATGATCTCGATTTTGTTTATGGATATTGTGGTGAGATATCAACTTCTGATAATCACTTCCGCGACTCGACAACTGATGGACAAATCAAATACAGGATAATTAAGTGATGACAAGTGGTGGACAACAAGTGAATACATACACTAGCGATGAGTTGTTCCTCATTGAGATCTGGGTTACGCTTCTTCTCGAACTCATATCTCGAAAATTTGGTCAATACTAACGCCTTCTTCGGCCGAAAGGGCTCAATGGGTTCCGTGAAGTGGGGATCCGTCGAAGACATCTGTGGTGTGAAGCGATAAAAACGAACTGAATTTAAAGCAAACAAAAACAAGCGATCGCTAGAAATGTGCGAAAATAAGTGATCATTATTTGAATGAGTGGCGAGTCTTGGGATCGCTTTTGATGCGCTCCACAAGCGGTGCAACACTTGTCTCATGTCTTGTTGTACTGAAACTGGGATTCGTTGAGACAATTACACCATTAGTTGAGTTCATTATTACGTTTACACACTTTTAAAGCATTCAATACAAACACAAACACTATATATCACAACAAAAAAGCGATCAATACTTCAATTAANGATGCGCTCCACAAGCGGTGCAACACTTGTCTCATGTCTTGTTGTACTGAAACTGGGATTCGTTGAGACAATTACACCATTAGTTGAGTTCATTATTACGTTTACACACTTTTAAAGCATTCAATACAAACACAAACACTATATATCACAACAAAAAAGCGATCAATACTTCAATTAATCTGTCGATTGATAACAAAGTCGAGCAATGATTACACTGTCATAACACTATTCACGTGACTATCACACATTCAATACAAACACAAACACTATATATCACAACAAAAAAGCGATCAATACTTCAATTAATCTGTCGATTGATAACAAAGTCGAGCAATGATTACACTGTCATAACACTATTCACGTGACTATCACCGCAACGCTTCCCACACTCTCTTCCACACCATTCGCAGCCAAATCACATCCAAATCAACGTTTGTTTATCTATTACTGGCCATCAATTACGTCCACCACATGTCTGGCCAACCCTTTCCTCACGTGATGTCTAAACTTATGGACAAATTGTGTTCATTTGCCACAAGTTGTGCACAAAACGAGTCCAAAGGCCATAAATAATGTGCTTTCGGGGGTTCAATGGGTTTGTGTTGAGGGTTGGGTTGAAGTGAGCGTTAATAGTGTTGTGTTTGTGTTGAGAGCAATGCATTGAAGGACTGCCAGCTGTACCTTATTTTGTGTGTGTTTTCCAGTGTTTCAAAAGTGTTTAGCCATTAGTTTTAGCCGAAGTGTGCGAATCCTATTCCCAGACCGAGTGACCCGAAGAGCGGCCCAACCGCTCACCAAACGCTGTCCCAAATGCTACCCATATATTCAAATGATAAACAATATAAAGTAACCCATGTTTTCAAACTGAGGGAAAAGCTGAGCGGATGGCTCAGGTATGTCACACACATGGCCTCACCGGTCGGCCCATCGCCTGTCACTCACTAATTGTTGTTTAAACTAATTATAGGCTAATATTGTCGGATAAAAACTCGAGAAATTTATTTCTCTTTTTACTATTGAATCTCTCGTTTGCTTTCGTTGAGCTCACGTATGGGATCTGGACTAACAGGTAATCCAATCACAGCCCAACATCTCAGCCAATATTTAACTTCATTTATCTCGTCCTTAGTCTCGGCCTAATATCGGATTCGTTTCATATGTTCTTTGACTGTACGGCTCTATTGGCAGGTTTAGCCGCTTCAGTGATCACCAAATGGAGATCAAACGAGAGATTTTCCTACGGGTAACCAATTAATCATTAGATAATGACATTAATTGAATGTGTTTTGCATGCGTTTAGATACGTGAGGGCCGAAGTGATCGCCGGTTTTGTGAACGGATTGTTCCTCCTATTCATCGCATTCTTCATATTCTCAGAAGCCGTCGAACGAGTGTTAGAACCGCCAGAAGTGAAACACGAGAGACTGTTCCTCATCTCAGTGTTGGGATTGTTAGTGAACTTAGTGGGCATTTTTGTCTTCCAACATGGTGGCGCTATGCACGGACACTCACACGATAGCGACGCCCCCGCACACAGTCACTCGCACTCACACAACGGTCACTCACATTCTCACGGCCACAGCCACGACGGCGGTGGCGGTCACTCCCATTCCAGTTCTGGCAGTGATGTAAGCAATCGGCAGATAATGCAGGGCGTGTTCCTTCACATTCTGGCCGATACTCTGGGAAGTGTTGGAGTGATTATATCAGCACTTCTTATGCAGTACTTCGGATGGATGATAGCCGACCCCATCTGTAAAGCAATCGGCAGATAATGCAGGGCGTGTTCCTTCACATTCTGGCCGATACTCTGGGAAGTGTTGGAGTGATTATATCAGCACTTCTTATGCAGTACTTCGGATGGATGATAGCCGACCCCATCTGTTCCATGTTTATCGCAGCGTTGGTGGCGTTGAGTGTGATTCCACTGTTGAGGGATTCCATAGGGATATTGATGCAAAGAACTCCCCGTGAACTGGACGGACAGTTGCCCGCCTGTTATCAAAGGGTCCGTACAATCAGACAATGAAAATGCATTAAACTAATTGAATGTATATATTGTGTTGAATGAACAGGTGATGCAATTGGAGGGAGTGCTGAGTCTACAGGAGCCGCACTTCTGGACGCTGTGTTCGGAGGCATACGTGGGTTCAGTGAAGGTTGAGGTGTCGAACGCCGCGGATCCGCGATATGTATTAAGCCATACCCACAGCATATTCGCTCAGATAGGAGTCAAACACCTTTACGTTCAAATAGATTTCGCCCCCATTTGACCACATTATCAGTTATTTTAGTATTAATTCATTAAATTTTTATTAAATTAAGTCATCAATTGTTGTATTCATTGATTCCTTTTTAATTTATATAAATATTTTGATTGAAATGAGTGAACAAAATAATGACTTCAGTTTTTTTTTGCAATCAAATGAAATATATTTTTATTCCGCTTTTTTAGAGCACAAGTATATGAATTGGATTCAAACTTGTTTGGCATTCATTGAGTTAATTGTTTACTGTTTTCTTATTGCAGTAAAACTACAGTTTAATTATAATAACAATGTTTTTCTTATAAGATTTTAAATATAATTATATATATCTTCCAAATTATTTATTTCTTAAATTAATTTGTTTTTTAGTGAATCACAAAATTTTTGCTTCGAATATGAAATTTGCATTCAATTTACGGATTAAGTTATTTATAGACAGATATAATGCAAATCTAGATTTGAGGCAAACATACAATTTGTTTATATATACCGCTAAGCGTTAATCTGTTGTCCATTTGTAACATTAATTTAATAAAACTTATATATTTTTATAATAATTCATTTGAAATGCTTTTGAAAGCTATTATTCCTTTCGTTTAGTGAAATGTGACAAAAGAGTTGACAATTATTTACATATTTTGCAGAAATTATATATTTTTTTCGATAACTTTATGACTTTTGAGACAACTATTGCAATAAAAAGAGAGTAAACTAAACATTAGTCGTCGTCTGAACTGCTGGTCGACTCGTCGTCGGGTTCTTCGTTGATGTGTCCATTCTGTGGCCACTTCTTCGGACTCAAAGTCAATTGAATGGTTTGGTTGGGAACAGCGTTTCGTTTCATACCATTGAAGCCATTTCTGGTGTTAATGAGATCTTTGAATTCTTTCACCTCATCCTCAGTGAGCGGTGCATATGAGGGGTCGTCGTCCTGACCGGCCTTCCAGCCCAACTCCAGCAGCAATCGGTGTTCCGCTTCCAAAGAACTCGACAGCACTCCCATGTCTTCGTCTTCGTATTGATCCGCTTTCACGCAAATATACTTATTATTCAGATTTTGAGTCTTTTTCGCGTCGTTTTCATTAAATATCTCATTGTTTTGATCCGAACTTCTCTGCGATTCCGACTCTTCGTAAGGGCTGCTCAGGTCTGTCGAGATCTCCAACTTTTCGAGCTTTTCTTCGAAATGATTGTTGTCTTTATCGGACTCTTTGTCTCTGAATTGATCGCTTCGAATGGAATTCAAAAAATCGCTTTTATTCGACCGCTTCTTCGGGTTCTTCACCAGTATTTCCATCGCTGGAGTCGTCGTTTGAGTCGTGCTTTTAGTGATCATCGGTTGTATTCGCGAATAAATAGCGTTTTCCTTCAATATTCCGGTCTTTGCTTTTCCAATCAAAGAAACATTACGATAGACTCCAGAAGTGATGACGGGTTTGGAAGTGTTTGATGTGATGCTTGCGTCCGATTTGTTGCTGCTTTGGATGTTATCAAAGTTGGCGACAGAGCTATGAATGAGTTGGAAGTTCTTAGATGTGCTCAAAACCTTAGATTTGGTCGCGTTATTACTCCACGCGCTGTGAAAACCCGAATTATCGTTGGGTCCACTCTTTTGGCCGCCATTGATGTCATTCACTAATGAAGGGAACTCTTGATTGAAGACATTGTTACAGTTCTGTTCGTTGGATGTGCTCTTAACGGGCGACTCGTTGTCCAAACTATAATCAAATGAGTTGTTGCCGAACGACCTCTTTGTGGGCGAATCAAAGTTGGGTTTGAATGGATCGATGTTTCGGTTGGCTTTGGTGTTGGAATGATAGGCATTGGGCGGAGTCTTATCGCGATAGTTGTTGGCCCGAAAGGGCGGCCGTTGGGAAGAGTCCGAGTACTTCTTCGCCCGAAAACCGTTTACATTATTGCCAATAGAGTTAGAGTTAGAACTGTTAAACTGTTGTTCGCTTCCAAATGAGTTATGCCTTAAATAAGTTTGTGATGAGTCGTGAAAAGTGTTGGCCAAACGATCGCGCGATTCGTTCACCGAAAGACTATTTGTGCTGTTATTCAACTCTTTTCGATGAAAACTGTTGTAATTATTTGTCGGTCTTTTCTGTTGAGAATCGACTCCTGATGTGGACGACGGGCTCACAGCAGCCGATGACGAGCTCTTCTTCGAGAGCTGAGGGTCCGGCAGCTTAAGCCACGCGGGAGTGAAGAAGTCTTGAGCGATCGGAGCGTTAGGGCTCTCCATCAGTGATGCCAAACAAAGACCATAATTAGGTCTCGTCTGGACTTTTGGCCAATCAGTTAGTGTTCGGTCGACAGTCTCTTCAATTCAACAATTGCTTCAATAAATCTTCAATTCTTGTAAATCTTGCGATGATTTGAAAGCAGAAAATTGGGTCTCTATTTGAACTCTAGTTTAGGACTTCTATTGTTTGGTTCAATATTATAAAAATAATGTCCAATAAAATGACTAATAATTGTTATAAATTAAATCAATCAAAATCTAAGCCAATTATATAATAATAATAGCAGTAATAAAACGTATAAACGTGTCGTCGCTATTGAAAGCACGTCCGATAAGACACTTCTTCAGCAAATTAATCAAAAAATTTAAAACATTTTCTATCAAAAGGCAGTAAAAATGTGTCGACTTTTTTGGTCAGAATTGGATGAAATGAAATACAGTCTAAAAATCCGCGTATTTTGTCGTCAATTATTCATAGCTCTTGTATTTGTAATTAGCTTTTCGTCGGAAATAATAATCAGATTTCCATTGTTAACAAAATTTGACCAAAAATTGCAGTTATTTTCATAACAAATATAATGCGGTTTTTCATAAACCAAATACTTATAACACAAACAAATTCATTGATAAATCATCGCTCGTAATATTAGGGCCAATAGTTTTCGTGGATTTAATTAATAAAAACATTAATTAAAAATATATATCAAATAATTAGTCGAAGAGTTGATCATTAAATATAAGGATAAAAAAATGTCGTTAAAAATGAGCGAAAAAACAAACGGAAAACCAATTATTATTGAAATCCCAAACGTTTTGTTTAGTGTTGTTATTAATTTGGGGCCAAAAATATTATTGTAATAACAATTAAATAATATTATTATAAATATTGCGGTTATTATAAGCGAAACGAGGAAAACATCAATATATTTGGCGATTTGTGTCACAGATATCTACCATTGAATACCAAAAGATATATCAGATTATCAGACCATCGCTTCTCGTCTATCAATAGCTGTATTCAAACAAAATAATACAATTGTTTAGTCAATACATTTCACATACAAATCAAATCGTTTTCATAACGATATTAATTGCACTCAATATTCAATATAATAATTATTA